TATATATATATATATATATATATATATATATATATATATATATATATGCATTTTAAACCCTTCCCACGCTCTTGCGATATTCTAAATAATGTTTCTAATCTCTTAACGCTCTAAAAGAGCACAGAATGTCATGATTTCTGCTCCCTGCCTCTTCTGCTCTTTGCCACCTGCAAGTGCTCTTAGCCACGCCCACTTCTCCGAGCTGCACGCAGAACATCTGATCAGCTGCAGCAGGAAGTTTATCCTGCAGTAAATAATTTAAAATATTTTATTTTAAATAAAAATGTCATGCCGATCGTGCGGCTCATCCATCAATCAGTCAATTGTGTGTCATGTCCAATATTATTTTGAAGAACCGCGATAGAACGAGTCCGCGATATCCCACGAAGTAGCGAGGGACTACTGTGTATATATTGTTTAATTCAATCATTTTAATAATCTGTGTTCTTTTTAATTTACCAGAAACTTCAAAATAAATTCTCACCCTGTACTGAAACCTGTTTCTGTACAGGGTGAGAATTATATTATACTTTTACCACCAGCATTACCGCCACCAGCTGGTAAGGTGCGTGACGTCAATTTGTTTTGACTCCGAACCCGTTTACTAGAGCCGTTACACTGGAGTATAATGGGAAACCAGCTGTACTGCGCTGAACTGGTACTAATGGAAAAGAGGCATATGTGGCCCTGTGATGGACTTGCAACCTGTGCAGGTTGTACCTCGCTTCTTACACAGCGACTGCTGGAGATATTCACCCTCTCTCCCGTGACCCGGAAAGGAAAGGATCATTAAAAGATGGATGGATGTTACAGTGTCTTTGTTTGATCAAGACTGTTTTTTTTTTTTGTTTGTTTATTTGAATAAGCTGGTGATTAGCCAATATGTGGAATAAATCTTATTTTGTCTGAGAAAATCAGCGCTTTTTCCCTCGTTTTGTTTAGACACAGCACGTGGGAGCCAGAGGAGAATATTCTGGATGACCGGCTGATAATGGGCTTTGAGCAAAAGTGAGTTCATCCGGTCCATCTCTGCGCTCTGTGCACATTTTCACAGTTATATCATCAAATCAAATTCACCGTGCCCATATTTTCATATTTTAACTTCACTACGCCTGCATCTAAACAGCATTTTCTGATCATTTTAACCCCCAAAAAGGTCATGCTCAACGTAGACATAAAAAAAAAATATGCACCCATTAGTTTCCTCCTGTTAATTCCCTGATCTGAGATATGAAAACCAACTGCTGTTGTGGTGGTATTTAAGAAAAAGTATACTGTTTAAAAGTTGACTAATACATTAAAATAAAATGCACATACATTATAGGGTACAGCACCTTCTTGGTATAGAAAGTCATTGAGAAAGGTGGCTGCAGTGGGCAGAAATGACCTTCTGTACTGAGTTCTAGCAGCAGCTCTGAAGAAACCTCCATTGTTCCCTCATTATGTTCAGTTTGAGACGTCCGTTATGCAGATCAGCTTGTGCACATGTTTACCGTCAGTTCTAGGGGCTCTAGAACAATTTCAAACACAATTTTGAAAAATTGGTTCCACAAGAGAGGAGCCTGGTAACTGAAAGATCTTCCTCTCATTCTGCTTTTGGAAACTCTTGGGACCACGAGTAAGCCTGCAGTCTGAGAGTGAAGTGCTCTGTTAGGAAATAATGGAACAATAAGCTCTCGAATATAAGATGGAGCTAGGTTGTTGAAAGCTTTGTAGGTTAGAAGTAAGAGTTTGAATTAAATTCTGGATTTGACATGGAGCCAGTGGAGAGAAGCTAAAACTGGAGAGATATGATCTCTCCCACTAACTCCAGTTAAGACTCTGGCAGCAGCATTTTGGATCAACTGAAGACGTTTTAAAGAAGTTTTTGGACACCCAGATAATAAACAATTGCAATAGTCCAGTCTAGACGTGAAAAATGCATGAACCAGTTTTTCTGCATACTTTTTAGATAAGATGTTTCTAATTTTAGTGATATTACGCAGGTGGAAGAAGGAGGTTTTAGTAATGTTTTTAATGTGGAGGATAAAAGACATGTCCTGATCAAAAATAACACCAAGATTTTTAACATTAGAGCTGGAGGCCAGATTAATGCCATCCAAGGAGGGAGAAAGACTGAAAAATTAATTCCTAAGATGCTCAGGTCCAAAAACTAAAACCTCAGTCTTGTCTGTGTTCAAAAGCAGAAAATTTAGGGTCATCCATGTTTTTATGTCTTTAAGACATGTTTGCAGTCTAAGTAGCTGATTGGACTCATTGGGTTTCATGGACAAATATAACTGAGTATCATCAGCATAACAATGAAAATTTATCCCATACTGTTTAATAACTTTACCTAAGGGAAACATGTACAAGGTAAAGAGCATTGGTCTAAGCACTGAACCTTGAGGAACTCCATGACTAACTTTGGAGTATGATGAAGATTCATTATTTACATTTACAAATTGGAATCTATCAGATAGATATGATTTAAACAAATTTAGAGCCGTTCCTGTAATTCCAACATCATATTCAAGTCTCTGTAATAGAATATTATGATCAGCCATATCAAATGCAGCACTGAGGTCTAACAGGACCAGTGTAGACACAAGTCCATTGTCAGAGGCCATGAGAAAATCATTAGTAACTTTCACCAGTGCAGATTCAGTGCTGTGGTGAGCTCTAAACCCTGACTGAAACTCTTCAAACAGATTATTTCTTTGCAGATGATCATGTAACTGACCAGCAACTATTTTCTCTAGAATTTTTTTTAGATGAAAGTTAGATTAGATATAGGTCTATAATTGGCCAGAATGTTTGAGTCAAGGTTATGTTTCTTAAGTAAAGGTTTAATTACAGCAATTTTAAAGCGCTGTGGTACGTAATCATTTATTAGAGGCCAATTAAGCAGATCCAGTAATTGGGGGAAATTGTGTTGCCCGCATTAACACCCATGTGTTGATGTCCTTCAACATTTTTACCTCTTTTCCAGACATGGATATGGCATGTCCTCCAGATAACTAAATTCACTGTAATTTTTGTGGTTCATGAAGTGAAGTGAAGGAAGCATGTACTTGTCTGAAAAAGCACAGTGGATCTTTTCAGATGGTATCTTCTTACTAACAAAATGTGCAATCTTAAGATCAGCAGCATAAAATGGTTAGCTAACTAACTAACTAGCTAGCTAATAACACTTTTATATATACATCTTGTGTGATTCCTTGTGTATGTTCCTTTGTACTGAAACTCTGGCACAACAATTTCCTGCAGGATCAATAAAGTTATATCTTAACTAAACTTTATGAATGTGCAAATCGTCATTAATAATAAAAAATTTAAAAAGTACACACCACCAATCAAAATCAAAAATGTACTCAAGTAATAGTTAAGACCGTCTGTCACACAAACATCACTCTTAAGTTTCACTTTTGCACTTCTTTGCTCATTTGCACTGAATATGGCAGGGCTTGCCTTTAGACAACACATGGGCCTTGTCAAAGTGTCGCCATGAAACACTTATATTTCCTATAGCAGGTGGCAGTTTGTTGCTATCAAATTATTCACAATTTTTTTTAAAAGTTGTCTTTAAGCAGTTACAGGATTTTTTTTCTGTTTTCTATCTGTTTTACATTCCTACCTCTCATTTCATTTCTGAGAAATTCACTCGAAAGCCACTTGAAAGATTTCTCTTGCTATCAGACATGTTTACAGGAAATTTCAACTGTCAAAACTAAAAGGACACATCAAAAAGAACCAGAAATGAGCATGAGAACACAGAGAGAGCATGACTCTGTTGAAAAGTGACTGTGTGCTTGCTCTACTTTCATACTCCGACAGCTCTCATCTCTGTTGTCTGTTAGGTTTTCTATATTTACTCTCACTGCCCTACTCTTTTTGGACTATTTTTGGTTTTTGCTCTTTATTGCAACGTTGTGACCATTTTGTTTTTTCCTTTTAAGGGAACGAGAAAGGGAAATACATGGGCCCAAAAAACGGGGACCAAAACCCAGACACTTAAATACGAAGGTACAGTTTGCAATTTTTGCTTTAACGTTTTTGCATTTGCAACTAGGGATGGGGCCGATCCGGTATCGGTGTCTGCCTCCGATACCAGCATAATTTACATATCGGATTTTTCTGATCCAACCTGCAGAGATTTCCGATCCATGATGCATGTTGGCTTTAAACTATGGAATGGATTTCCTGAACGGAGGCGTGTCTCATGAACCCAGAATAATAAGACCCACCTCACATTCAGGAAATCCATTTCATAGTTTGCAGCCAGCTACAACGTGAGGACTGAGTTAGCAGCACTGTAGCTAACAGTTAGCCAACTTTTCATCGAAACATGTCCGCTGTGTGGAAGTAGTACACTAGAAACGCTACAAAACAAGACAGCAATGTGCAATGTCTGCAGAGCCATAGCGCCACATTAAACCGCGGTAAAGTTAGTTTTACGATGGATATTCGAGCTCTGTGGCTTCAGCGGTCTGCTCCTCTTGCTGAACCCGTAACAGGCAGCCCGACCCTGGCCAGCCGTGCCCAATCTGCCCCGTTCAGTCTGCGCATCTCTGAGGAGCGGCAGACTAAACGCGGCTGACCGAAATCAGACTGCTTGCTGCGGATTGAACAAGAAGAAGACATCACTGAAACCACGGAGCTCAAATGTTTACAGAGAAGTTGCTAAACTTCATCATAATTAATGTTCAACTGCTATCAGTTGTAGAAAACAACGGATTTCTCAGCTTGTTACTTGCAGCCAAGATATAGTTTACCCTCCAGAGATATTTATCAGTACAACAGTAGACAATCATAAAAAAACATGATTTGAAAATTACAAGAAAATTATATATATAAAAAAACGAAACAAAAACAGCCACATTATAAAGCGATGTAAAATACTAAAAAACATGTCTGTGTTGGTTTATGCCACAAACTTAGCAGATGTTTAAAGCCATTTAATTTTTTTTATTTTATTTTATTAATTTATTAATTCATTTAAAAGAGACAAACAACAAATTCATCAAAAAGAAAACATTGAATGAAGAGTGCAGAAAGAAGAAAATAATTATTATATCTCCCCCTTATTTTAAAAAAAAAGTAATAATAAAACTTTAAACAATCACTTAAATTAATCACTTTAATATCCATTTTAAAGCTGGAATAAAAAATAAAACAACCACATTTTGTGTTAGCAGAATTTAATTCTAACTTTTAAACTTATCCAACATTAATAAAACTTACCTCAGTTTGCCTTTTTGGACATGCATGTATATATTTGAACAAATTGTACTTGAGAGGAGATTATTACAGCCTCACATAAAATCAATGTTGATGGTATCGGAACAGGATAGGTATCGGCCGATATCCATATTTAGGTATCGGGATCGGATCGGTGCATCCCTATTTGCAACTAATGAATTTGAAATGCTAACAGATTTGTGCACATTTACAAAGAAACTGTAATATGGTTTAGCAAATGCCTTTTGTTTGTGACCATCCTCATTTGATTGCCATTTAAATTTTAGTTCTTACGACTAGGCCTGTCACGATAACAAATTTTGCTGGGTGATTAATTGTCTCAGAAATTATTGCGATAAACGTTAATATTGTTTGAAATCTAACAATAATTGTCAAATTTTAGAAGAAATGTTGATTTGTTTGGATTGCAGTACCTTTTTTGACCACCTGATAGCAGTATAAGACTGTTTGAACCAAAGGATGGATAGTTGAGCAGCGTGTCACTTTAAGAAAAATGGGAGTGAGGGCCCTTGACGTGACATGGGCTGACATGGTGACGCTCAGTGATTTGAGCTCTTTAGCGTAGCATTTTTCACACAAAGCTTTTAATAAAAAAATCAGTAAACAAGTTCTCAGCTTCATTTTGCAGAGAAAAACAAGTTTTTACACAAGGCATGAGTTTCAACTGTGAATTTTGGAGCTTCGACAAGACAGAGGTTTATTCCCAAGGTCGGCTTGTTAGCTTAGCTTGTAGCTTAATTGCTTTTAACGATCCAAAAACGCGATTTTGGACAGTTAAACAGATTTTAAAGAGAAAGGGAGGGGTCAGTGAAGAACTTCATAGTTGAGCCTTTTGTCATCCAGTGTCTTCAGTAGAAAAAGAGAGACATAAAGAAACGATAAAGCCGGTAAATGAAAATGAGGTCAATAATTTTCATTCATCGTGCGATTAATTGATTTATTGTTTATCGCGACAGGCCTACTTACTACAAAACTCCCTTTGTTTCATGTCCTTATTAAATAATGTGGTAATGACCTACTTTCTTTTTTACTAATCAGTTTGAAGAAGACAATTGTGCCCTGCTGTGTTTTTATTTGCCAAACAAGCCATAGTTTAAATTGCTCAGGCTTTTTAGGATCATTTTTACTGTTAAATGTTCTATTTTCTTCAGACTAGTAGTCAGAGAGGAGAGACCAGCAATCGAAATCCAAGCAGCCGTCAGAGCACGTCACACTCCTCTTTGTCCATTTCCAGCCGAGCAGCTCCCTCCTCTTCTGCCCCTCCTCCTAGTTTATCATCGTCGTCCTCCTCCTCTTCAACTGTTGCTCCCTCCCCTAAACTCAACTCCCTTGCCGCCACCCACAAGCTGAAGAAAGACATTCATCGCTGCCACCGGATGTCCAGGCGCCCTCTGCCTCGCTCGAATCCCATGACATCTACCTTTACTAGTGCAGGTGGCTTCCCCTCCCGTATGCACGTTTCCCCTTTCTCCGAGACCGTCCGCATCCTGAACCGTAGAGTCAAACCTCGAGAAGTCAAGAGAGGTCGAATTATCCTCAACTTGAAGGTATTCGACAAGCCAGGCAGGAGTGGCACTGCTTCAGGCACAAGGAATATCCCAGCAGGACGCCAAAACATCCCTTCACGCAATCGCATCATCGGTCGGAAGGGAGAGGCTCCTTACAGACCTTTCCAGCCTCCGCTGAAGATGTTGGGGTTTCCGATGTATGGGAAGCCGTTTGGGCTGCAGTGTGGAGGCCCCGTGCCTCTTCACTCCCATCCAGGGTCACGCACCAGCTCAGGAGCTAGGCACAGCCACATCACTTCCTCTCAATACCAGGCACCTCCTTCTCCATCTAGCTCCAGTGGCTCCGAAGGAAAGTCCCAGCCTTCCACGTTGCCTCCCAGAAAGGATTCCAAGTCCAGTAAAGCTCTCACAGAAACCCAGAAAAGTCCATTTGCTCCTGCCTCATCCTCAGATGCAAACCCTGGAGCCTTAGCATCTTCCTTCCTGCCTTCGTCTCCATCTTCTTCATTAGAAGATGAAGAACAGGGCACCATGGACCCCTCACTGCCCTCAGAAGGAAGCAGAAAAAATCCCTCCCAGCGCAAAGCCAAACATCTGTCAACCTCCACACTTCCCTTCGTCAGTCCCGGGGAACAAACTTCTGCGCCTGTCGAACCCCAAAGGGTGCCAGCTGAAGGAGACCCTGACTGGCACCCAGAAATGGCACCAAGCTGCAAAGATGTCGTGGTCACAGACGTGACCACCAACCTCGTCACCGTCACCATAAAAGAGTTCCCCTCTCCTGCTTCTGGCCCTTCTTCACCTTCTTCTGGTCCTGAAAGCGCCTCCTCCTCCCCTCCAGTCACAACATCTGAGGACCCCTCCCCTACGAAGCCATAGGAGATCAGATATTTTCAAACTGATTGCCATTAAAGATAGGAAGATATATATCAACTAGTGTTGCCACTTCAGCCCTGCCTTACATTATCCATTGGTGTAGGTCCATGTTTGTGAAACAAGAAATGAAATGTAATGTAACTAAATATTGCCCAGCCATAAAATAGTAAATAAAAACATATTTTTCTTTAAAAAAAAAAAAAAAAAAAGGAAAGAAAGTAATGTAAGATTTCACAAAAGAGGCAGCTACCAAGCCTTTCTTGCCATTTAAACCGCCATATTTGTGTGCACATGCGCTGCATTGACTCTTTGAAGCCGATTTGACAGGAAGCAATATTTGTTTTCTCTCACTTGACACAAACATGCAGAGTTTAGGCCTGTTTGCATCTATACCAGTTGTCCCAGCAATGTGTCCCTCGCCCATCTGGTGTGTGAGCTTTCACACACGCTCACTGTAAGTAAAAGAAAGATTTGTCTTCTGCTGAGTCGGCTGCTACAGGATCTACGACCTTCAGGTGTTTTGTCAGTTTAATGACCCCAGGTGTCAGCGGGAGTCTAGTTTTGCCAGCGTTAAATGAGGAGATGTCTTTTTTGCACTTAAGGCAGTTGGACTCGATATATCGCATCAGCACATGAAAGTAAATGCAATGCACTTGACTGCATCGAAAGCAACTTGTCCTTCAATGTAGTTCATCTATTTTTCAAGGCCTTTTCCCTCTCACTCCTCTCTTGAACACACACACAATATTAAGTTATAGAGTACCCAATAGATTTCTAGGTTATCTTTCTGTGCATTCTTTACTAGCTTTGATTTTTCCACAAACTCGCCACCTTCTTCAACTTGTTCATGTCCACTAAGATCCTACACTGGCCTGCAGTTAATTGGGAGCATTTACCAGAATTGCATCATTTATTGTCTCAGCCCATCAAGGTCTAAACAGTCCAGGAGCTGCCATTGAATTGAAGCCAAATAGTTTTGTGTTTCTCTGATCTTCTTGGCTGGGGTATGAGCAGTTTTGGCTTGTAAATCAATTGCAAATTTTCATTACTTCACCCCTAAAAGCTTGTAAAACAAATTTAGTTTCTTCTTTCTCCTTAGTTTAGCTTCAGTAGCCTTTTTAAATGAGTATTTTCTAAACGAATAAGATGGTGTCATTAGTAATGGCGTATTTAGCATGGTTTGGTGTTCTTGTAAAGCTTGTTAAGGAACTGGAGAATGCTTGTTCTTTTGTGTAGGAAACCAATAACCGCTGGGATTAGCCAGTAAGAAAGCAGTCTTGTCCAACCAAGAACATGATTGTTCAAGTTTCTTAACATCGTCTCCAGCCCTAGGACAGATTTCTTTGAGGTTTCTGTTTTCCCATAATCTCTCAACATGGTAATGTCCATTATTTGACTGTCATACACACATTTTGGCACATGAAGGAAAACGATGAAGAGGGACAACTTGACATATATTAAGTATGTAGCATATTGTGTTTTGACTTATTGGTCAGGCTTTTTTTATTCATGTCACCATTTTACCTTTAGTGTGACCTTAAATAGCATATGAGTTCAACCTCCATGGAAAGGAAGTTGGCACAATAGTCTTCAAAGATGTGCTGTGCCTGTTATTAGTGGATTTATAAGACAGATGTCCAAAAGGTGTTTGGTTTGATGTGATCCATCACCTCTGTCTTCTTTACAACTTTTGAGTATTGAAAGTTATTTCCCTCTGAATTCCCAACAAATCTCATCAGCAATCCACGATTCAACCTTTAAGCACATCGCAAGTACTATGGGGAATCGGCGCTTCTCACAGATTTTTACACCATGTTTTCTGCTCTTTTCAGATCTTCGCAAATGTCTGCTCTAGATTTGTTTTTTGTATTATACCTCTTCCGCATGTGTTGCCTTATAGCTGCTCTGTGCGTCCCTGGTCTTACTTGGCATTTATAACACAAGAGACCTAATTACTTAGTTGTGGCTTCAGCTTGTAAGGATCTCATTACTGTAACTTTCCACTGTTGCTGAAGTTCAGTTTTGCAAAAGTTTCAGAAGGAACTCTGTCTTTACGAGATGAGGATGATGTTGCCTCTTCGTTTCATGTTATGTACTGGATGGTTGTAGTTATTCACCATACTGTTTCAGTGCTCCAATAGGTTACATGAAATTATTTATTCTAGTATGACATATTCATTTGATGAAGAAAATGTGGGTTTTTGAAGCTTTTCTATTAGGGGTGCACTGATTGCAGTTTTCTGGCCGATCACGATTTCTAAAAAGTGACCTGCCGGTTCCAATTTTGGCCAATACCGTTTTTGTTTTATAAGCGACACTGTCAGGTGTTATAAGGTCACAATGCACCTTCAATTTTCCATTATTATTTTGTTGAAAAACATACCCTTGAACAATATCCTAGAAACACTACCAACTTGTTTTAACTGGTCATGAGGTAGTGCTCTGAAATATAAATGAAGTTCAGACAATTGTTAAAACAAAACCAAAAAAATCGTTAAAATCTGTTTCTCATGCAAGTATTGGCCAATTTATGATTTCCCAAAATTAATGAAATCGGGGTCGATATATCGGTGCACCCCTATTTTCCATTATTATTATTAGAGCCTGACCGATGTGGGAATTGTGGCTATCGTCAATACCAATATTGGGAGGGAGTGTGGATGCCGATAACCAATATAATGGCTGGGAAATTTTGAGATTTGTCCACCCCCAAGAATCTAAGTAAATGGTGAGTGGGGTGGAGTTTGTTTATTTAGCACAGCTGTTCGCAACCATGAAGCTAAGCTAATCAGATCCACGCTATACCTAGATCCACACTAGGTGTACAAGTGGTGCACTGGTCATAAAAACAGTCTTCCTAACGTGCGTTCACATTTTCTATCCTCCACTATTCAACATGAAGTTATCAAGTGTATTACAAAAATATAAATTAAACAAAGAAATGCCTTTCCATGTTCATTGTTTTAAACAGTCACGTATGATAATAATAATGTGTTATAAATTGTCATCGTTGTATGTTCCCATACAATGGCAAAATTGTCTCTCCGTATTTAACCCATCCACCACCAGGTGGAGCAGTGGGCAGCTGTTAAGGGTGCCCGGGGAGCATTTGGGGATAGGGTGTGCTGCTCAGAGACACCATGAAATGTGCAATGACTGGTAATCGAACCTGGGACTTTCGTGTCCTGAGTCAGCTGCCCTGCTCTTACACTATCTTGGTCCCCTAGTAAAAACTTAATTAGTATTGACCGTAGCGGCGTTCATTTTTCTTTGCAGAGAAGTAAAGATTTCAGACAAACAATCCATTTCATTAAGAATGACAAAGATAACTTTACTAAACTGATATATTTGACCTCTACGTTAGATTTATTATTCTGGCTAAAGTTTTACAAGGCAATAGCCTATGCTAGGTTATCTAAATGTTAGCTTGCTAACTTGAGAGGCACGTAGCTAATGACAAGCGGGTTGGAGGATTGAAGCTTATTGTTGATTTATTTTACAGCTCAGTTACAATAAACTTACCATGCTCTGTTCAGCAAAACACGCTACACAGTACTTACGGCTCCCTGCGTCGGATGTGCTGAACGTGAAAAGTGAAACTTAAAGCCATGGCTTGAAAGTAGTCTTCATGCGCCCTCTGCTGGATACATTGTACAATTACAGCTGGTTCCAGCATTTTAGAGGTAAAAATGAGAAGTGCTTGTATCGGCGCATAATGGGACAATTATCACAAATACCGATAGGTCCCCAAACGGCTATGCCGACCTGAAATATCGACCCTATTGATATATCGGTCGTGCTATAATTATTATTGGAAGTTCTTAAACCCTAAATTTGTCTATACAAAGTATTTAAATTATTCATAAACTTTGCGCTAAAGCTCAGATTTCTTCTCAAAATGGATATAGTTATTTAGGATATTTTTCATGTTCTGTGACTGTAATATCTAGGTGGTGGTGACAGTAGCAGTCGGTGGGTGTTTTAAGGTATTAGACGGTGCAAAATGATGCATTTTCTTTTTGTATGGGGTAGCACAACTCAACTTAGTGGCCTGTCTTGTAACAGAATAGGGCTCTTGTTTCTATGGGATTTTGATTTCTTTGTACTATTAGCCTTTGAAATGGTTTTACATCAGTGTGGTGTAAAGTTGTAAGTGCTGGATTGGCACTGACTACATAAAACGAAGGAATTTTGTTTTAACTGAATGCGTAAAGATGCTTGATTATGAATTGTTCTTTTGAAGCATTTTTCTCTTTGTACTGTATTTTAATACTCGTTTGAAATATGCATAATTATGTTGATGTAAGGCTGTTTATTTGAATGCCATTTTTAATAATCCCCATTGGGTTTGATTTTTTTTTCTCGTGTGTATCAAGAGTTCAGTTGTCTGATTTTATAATATGAACTATGTACTGAAAGTCATAACAGGACGTTGGAGGAAAGTAATGACAATGTGTATGTGAACTTCGGAAGCATGTTTTGAAAACTCTTGCTGTTCAAATAATGTATTCGGTGTCATGTTTCATGTTGTTTTTGTGTGTTTCTTGTACAATTCTTTTAATTAAAAAGTGTTTGAAAATGATTTTGGCTCCTTCCTTGTTTTTTTTTTTTAGTGTATCTGGGAGTAAAAACGACACCGATGTCCGAACAAAGGCACAATCAGTTCATGTTGATAGCAACAAAGCCGCTAATTAGAGTTTGCCTATTAAATTGTTGTAAACTTGAATAATTTGCTTCTTGTGTCATTTTTTTTCCTGATGACATTTTTGTCCTCTGCACAGCAAAAATCACTGAAGCTAACAAGATTTTTTTTATTGATTGTCTGTGCAAATGGCAGTAAAATGCATTATGCACAATTCAGTGCTTAAGTGTGAGATCAATTAAAATACTCGTTAAAAAAATATTGATCTGAAAGAAAAACTCGTAAATATGCAACAAGTCAATGCACAAATGTTGCGCAAATTAATGCCATAAATAGATAAATTAGCAAAGACTTTATAAATCTGCCCTCTAGGTCTTTGTCTAATAACTAAATTGCTTAAGGCCCAGTCTTAAACTGTGGTATAAGAACCACTAGTTTACTCAGAACTTTTTGTATCAGCTGTTAACAAATGAAACAGCTAATTTATCATCAGTCACTGAAGTGTGATGCAAAACTGAAATGGCTACAAAGATCAGTGGTTCATACACATTACAATGTTGGCTCCAAATGGAAGCTTAACGCCAAATTGCTGTGCAGATTCTTTTGAGAAACCCTATGGAAACTGGACAAAACAATAGTTTACTGATGTGCCAGTAGTTAACAGTGCCAGTAAGAAAGTCTACAAGATCTGCCAGCAAAAAATAAAATAAGAAGTGAAAAACATGATTCAGATCATCTCAAATCTGTTTGGTGGTGGGACAGGAGAAGATCCAAGACTACAAAGAAGGTGCACATGCATGGAACCATCACATCTTCAACCAAGGGTAGACTTTTTTTTTTCTTTTTTTTTCCCCCCAACGAAATTCGGTCAGGTCTTCTGGACCGTTTCTTTTTTTTTGTTGTTGAAATGTTTCGTCTTTTATTCAAACAAACTTCTTCAGTCAGAGGAGCTGCAATAAACTCATTCCCATAAGTAGCACACTCACATAGTGGGCCAACCAGTTTGACGGTGATAAGCTGGTTTCTGGAGTCCCACGTCGACTCGTCTGAGGCTACCATGGCTAAAGTGGTTCAAAACATCAAAATTCATGATCAATCCAAGTAAAAAAAAATCCAACAAAATTAAGCCGGGTCCTCTGGACAGTTTCTTTTTTTGTTGAAACGTTTCATCTTTCATCCAAAAGATGATGTTTTGAACCACTTTG